TTTTTTTAGCTATAATCAACAGATCACATTATAGTAGTTTCAGGTGTACAAAATGATTTGCTATTTATATATACTGTGAAATGACCACCATAATACGTCTAGTTCCCATCTATCACTATACACTTTACACGGATGAGGTTTATGTAATTGAATACACAAGGTTGACAAGGAAAAAAAAAAAGGTGAGAGCCTGAATATGGGCAGTAGGAGACAAGTTAGAAGAGGGACAGATTAAGAAATAGTTAAAACCGAAAAGTGCCAGGACTCAGTCCAGGAAGACAGAGACTCTGCACTCCGTCCCACAGACTGTACCTAAAGCGAACCCACAAAGAGCAGCCTCACTACTGCCTGGCTTTGTGCTCCCTACAAGGTTGTTTGCTTCTGGGACTGAGCCTCCAGTTCCACGGTTCTCCTGCTTTCAAACACCGCCCCCTTGTGTTCAGATGTGAAATGCAGCTCAGGAGGCTGCATGCCTTCCAGGAACCAAGGACCTGGTACTGCACCTCTTGGCATTTTTTGGAAATTACATCACAAATGTACGGCAGCCACCTCCTCCCCCAACTCTCTCGGACCCAGGGGAGGGAGCGGCTGGAGCTGTAGCACATGCACTAAACAAGAATGTACATCCAATAAAATGCGGACATGGAGCCCCGGTGCCTGGAGCTGCCGCCCCGCTAGTACCCTGGAAAATTAATAATCGTCCCAGGAATGCACAATGGACACGCTGAGAGGTTTACGTACCATACAACACACATTCCATGCAGGATGAACAAAACCGGGACATGAGACTCCTTTCCTCTGACCTTTAAATTTTGCTGTAAGTTCAGAATTTTCAGCAGAGAAAAAAGGAATGGAATCAGTTCAGAGTTTCAGAAAGCTGATCTACTTTACGGAGGTATATACTTATGATTTTATTTCAGTAACAGTTTCTATATCGGAAACAGGGAATGGGATATTCCTTCTTCAGGAGGCAGGCAAATATAAATTGTTGGGAGAAAAAGAAAAAAGAATGAGCATATTTTTGTATCAGGAAGATTTTGCATTGCTTGATGAAAATGCAGTCTGATGCGGCCAGGCTTGAGCAAACTTCTAGGGATCTGGTGGGGCTAGGGGCTCAAAATCTGATGAGTAAGCATCAGTAAATACCAATGATGGATTCAGAGACCAAAATGTTCCACATTTTCTATTTTAAAAAGGAAGGTGGGGAGGAGAAGGAAGAGGAAGAAATGTGTATCAGTGACAATGAAAGGAGACCCTGGGGCCCAGACAATTGGAAAAACAGTAAACACATATGGCATTTACAGTGAGCCATGTACTTTTCGAATCACTTAATATTAACTAATCCTCGTAACAACTCTATGGGGGAAGACACCATTTTAGAGAAGACTCCCTTTAACAGATGAGCAAACAGAGGCCCAGAGCAGTTAAGTAACTTGCTCAAGATCCCATAACTAGTACGTGGCAGAGCTGAGAATTCAGGCAGCCTATCTCCAGAGTCCGCAATTAGGCCCTTAATAAAAGGTAGCTACTTTATTAATAAGATGGAATATAAGAGGTTACCAGATATGTCTATCAAAACTTCGCAAGGATATTTGAAATACCACTTTTGGCATCATTCTGGTTTAAAGCAGGCGATGGAAAGCTGTGGTATAAAAAGGACTGGTGTTAGAACAGGCCAAGAGCATAGAAATTCTAAGTGGCCAACAGAACCCTGTATTGTAAAGTGATATAATTAAATTTGGAAAATGTCAGTGTGACTTCATAATCTCAGAAAGACACATATTGCCCCCAATTCTGTCGTGATTAAAATCGGCCTAACAGTAGACACAGTGCTTTAGCCATGACCAGTTCCCATGTCCAGGTAGTTTTCAACATAGTTCACCACTAAAATGAACCAGGCCTCCTTGGAGACAAGCCAATACCATATCTTGAAACCGGACAAAAACGAGGATGGCAAGAATGAACCCAGAAGCATCAGGAACTCTGCGACAGAGGCAAAGAAGCTGATGGAAGAGAACTCTCGCCAGCTGAGTCGTGACAATTTGGGCATCAAAAAAAGGAGGAGGAGAAGGAAATTATTATTACAGAAACAAGGTGGTCTGAGAAATACCTTATGTTCAACAGTGTCTCTCAAAGGGAAAGTTAATAGAGAGTGTACACAAAGATAGTTTTAAGAGAAAAAAGGGTGACCATAATAAGCTATGTCACAATTTATATTGATTTTTAAAACTAGAAAGCATTAAAAAAAAACTAGAAAGCATTAATATATAAGGTGATGTAGTTTCTTTTATAGAGTATTAATTATATGTTTGTTTATAAAATTTGTGTCGAGTAAGAAAGAATTACAAAATGAATTATAAGTCAGGCCATCCCAGGACGTTAGGGCCCACGGAAGGACTGCTTGGCATTGGTAATCCTACAAGAACCAGGTGGGAGGAGGGGCAGAGACCCACTGCCATTAGCAGGTACATACAGTTAACAAGGAACCAACAGTCCGCAGTGTGTTTGTACCGTAATAAACTAGGCAAGCAGCCTGAAGAGGAAAACCAAGTACTCAAACTCAACCTCTCATCTCCTAGGAGATGAAATCTATCTACCTGGCCCAATAAAGCAGGGTAAAATATTAATAGGGAATACATAGTTCTTAATAGTTCTGAAAACTAGGTCAGTGCATCACGATGATAAGGGGTCCTGACTTTGAATCACCTTGAAGCCACCTCATCCTGAGTGTACCCCCGTCCCCCCGAGAATCAGCAGCCTCTGACCTTAGCTACTCAGAAAAGTTATTCTGTCTCCTTTGGATCTGAAAGATCCCTGCACCTGTCTGGAAAGTGTTAAAATGATGTTAACTCTAAGAACACACTGAAATTAGTAAAACAGCCCTGGGAAGATATAAAAAATAAGAACAGAAACAACAAAGAAATAAACTCTAACCACCTGACTGTGGCTGGCTCTGAGGGCCGGCCACAGCTGCCCGCATCCCCCAGGAGCAGGCCTCAACCAATGGCAGGAGGGAGTCAGTGGACCAAGGCCCAGCTCTCTGACCTTTAGGTAAGGACAACTCAAGAGGCCAGTGCGTAGCGTCTCCTGGAGACCCCCCAGTGGGAGTGAGCTGCGGCTGCCCACGATGGCAGCCTCCTCAGCAAGGCACCATCCTCTCCCTGACTCATCCCCCCACCCTCCTCTACTGGGGCTTCCTGGGATCGTCCACCAAATCTACTATGTGGACTAATATCCACATCTCAGGGTCTGGGCAAGAGGGGCTTAAGAACCGAGCATTAAAGCCCCCACGTGTGTAATGCTGTTCTCTACGCACAGGATCCCCTTGTGCTTTCATAATCTACTAGCAGGAGAGCTGGCTTGAGGGGCACAGGGTGTGGGGGGGCGCTGGTGGGCACTGCCTCTCCTGTCAGCATCTTCTTCCCCTCTCTGGACCCACGGGCTCCCACCAGGACACTCGCTTCAGATCTCACTGGGGAAGAAGGTGTGATTCCTCCCACAGGGAGCTGTGATTTGGGAGGAAGTTCTTAGAAACGTCCCATCGTAAGGCTGGAGCTGCACATAGGGACTGCGGAGAGGAAGGCAGGAGGGGGACAGGGCAAGTGCCCATTTACTCGGCTGTCCCCACACGGAGACTCTTGAGCTTGAATCTACCCCCAGGTCCCTGTGGGCCATGACTTTTATAGGCAGCTCCCCAAACACAGTGTACATGAAAACACAGTTCGTCCTTCCCACAAACACAGTGGTTAAGAGCCCAGGCTTTGAATTCAGGCTTACCCATTTCTACTGTCACCTTGGGCAGGCTCCTTCATGCCCCTGAACCTCAGTCTGCCCATCTATAAAATGGGAGAAAGACAATCTAATTCCTAGGGCATTAACTTAAGAGGTTAAGAAACATGCCAGGCACGTTCTCTGCACTCTCACTGCCCGGTCACACACATGTAGGTGAGCTACCATCCTCGTTCTGTAATTCTAAGAAAGCTCCCCAGCATCACCCAGCTAATAAGAGGCAGATCTAGGGTTCAAACTTGGGCAAGTCTGATTCCGCTCTTAGCCTCCACATTACACAAAGCATGTGGAAAGCAGTTAACAGCGCCCAGCGACACCAGGTGCTTCACCAATGTCGTCTCTGTCCTGTCTCCGTCCTTCATCATTGTCTCCTGGGCTGTCTCCCTCGGGGGAAGAACTATGTTGAGGGCCACAGACAAGGAGAGATTCATGAGGCTCAAAAGGAAGAGGCTCAATGCCAAGCTCTTAATAAAGAGCCTTCAGAGCGAATAGATTTTGGCTTCTCCTTCCATTAATACCTAAGCTCTTAAGGTTCTTCCAACTCCATAATTTCCTTTTCTGGAACCTACACCAAATCTTCAAAATGACTTTCAAAAAAGCCAGAAAGTCAGGAAGACTAAATATCTTCAAAGTTTCAGGTGAAATTAAGTCACCTCTAAACCTGTTGACTCAGTGTCAGAGCAGTGGATTCGGAACCCATCTCTCAGCTTTGGCTCCAGCGTTAACCAAGCTGGGTGATCGTGAGCAAAACCACCTGCCTTCTCCGGGCCTCCTCTTATTTTTTTTTTCTGGGCCTTCTTTTGAAACATTTGTCAATATAAAGTAATGATCCTTGTCTTGCCTTTCTTAAAGTTGCTGAGAGAACCATGTGAGGAATGTCCATGAAAATACCTCACAAGTTATAAAGCCCTACATACATGTGGGAAATTATCAGTGTTATTTAACAGCTTAACAGACTTGCTAGGAAAATTCTTGAACAAGAAAAATGAGAGCCAAAAAGCAGAGGTGGGCAGCAGTCTGGGATGAGGAGAGTCAGTTGGTAAAGAAAAACTAGCTGTCAGAATCTCATTTTCAGTGTTGGCAGTTAACCTTCAATCAATTTTATAAGGCCAGGAAATAGCCATATTTTTAATTAAGTGTCTGTGGTAGGCTCAGCAACATAAAATTTAATGATAGAGAAGACACCAGCTTAAAGAAACACAGCTTCTTACCTCTCCTTCTAAGAATGAGATCTTTTCTAAAAGCTGCAATATTAAGAGCTGTTTCTGCTGCACCTTTTTCTTTAATGATTCAATCTAGAAAGAAACAAATTAAAAATTGTTAATAAAAACAATAAAGAATTGTAGAAGTGGGGTGCCTGGGTGGCTCAGTCGTTAAGCGTCTGCCTTCGGCTCAGGTCATGATCTCAGGGTCCTGGGATCGAGCCCCACATCGGGCTCCCTGCTCGGCGGGAAGCCTGCTTCTCCCTCTCCCACTCCCCCTGCTTGTGTTCCCTCTCTCGCTGTGCCTCTCTCTGTCAAATAAATAAATAAAATCTTTTAAAAAAAAAAAAGAATTGTAGAAGTACAAGTTAATCAACCGGAAGAGACGCCTTTGGTTTTCATCTAAATAGAACCCTCACTTTGGTTCTCTGTGTCTCATGGAACAGTGTTTAACACGAGTTGCTCCCCGGAATAGAGGGTTCTGCAGCCACATGATTTTGGAGTCACATCTCATTAGGTTTGTTTGACACACTGATTTTGCTGTGTAACCCTTATTAACATCCCATATATGTGCCAGAGAGCATGCTTTGGGAGATGCAGATGCAACTCTACATAAAATAATTATTCAGCTTAAATTTGTGAGGCAGCCCACATTTCAAACATTCAGCGCTGTTATTCCTGCTAGTAGATTCATATTTGTTCAACCAGGTGTCAAAAGTTTTGGTCTGGGAAAAGGTTCACTGTCACTAAAAGTGCAAATGGAATTGAGAGGATCCAGGACTCACGTGGCCTGGGATAAAGAGACTTGAGCTGGGTGTTCACCTTTGTTTTTACAACATGGTCTATCTTCAGCTACTCTAACTCTGCTTTTCATTCATCTCATGTTCCACAGACCAACCATAGATGCCCTAAAAGCAGGAACCAGGGTGCTCTATTCCAGGCTATGTTGTAGACGATAGACAATCGTGGGAACAGTATGCGGGTTCAGTCAATAACTGGTGATTTTGAAGAACATGCTAATTTTCCAACAATCTGGTATATTCAATTTGTGCATTTGCAAAATCTTTTTGAAAAATCCTTCTCAGTGCAAAATGACACATAATCCCCCTTTAGAAGTGAATCTGGAAGGAGCTAGGATAAGAAAAAAGTACAACTGCATTGCCCTTTGACCCAGCAATCCCATTCCTAGAAATAGATCCCCAAAGACACATTGGCTAAAATATAAAATGACTTGGACAAAGGATTTTTGGTTTTTAGAAGACACAAAGGAAACAGAACTCCATCAATCAATAAGTGGCTAGTTAAATAAACCACGGTTCATCATGACAATGGACAGCTATGAAGATCTTTAGAACAGATACGGTGTATTGTAAGGAATATACAGTATGAAAGCTTTAGCGTAAAACAGATGAGGCCATCTGAATGCATATATATTTGCAAAAAGAAATTCTGCAAAGATAAAAGAAACCTTAATTATTAAGAAATACTTGCCAACAGGGAAAGAAGGAAATTAGAGGAGGCAGAAGAAAAGATTTTTTGATAATACCTTCTTACCTACATTTAATTTTGAAAGCACATTTTACAGATTAAAAGAATAAAACTAAACCAAAAAGAAAAAAAAGCGAATCTGAAAACTTGAAAACAAATCGAAATAAAGGAACTTAACTGTATATCCAGTTGGTGAAAAGAACTCAAGTGTTGTTTGAACAAGCTAATTTGATTCTGTTTTTAGTGGACTGTATTCTAAAAATAAACAGAACTGCAAAGAAATCTCGTATTCACTAGGAAAACTGTTGGTAATGATATTGGTATTGTTGTTTTGAAACTATTTGAGATTTTGCAGTATAATAATGTTTGGAACCAAGGTTTTAGTGTAAGAGAAAGAAATACAATGTGAAATCAAAGAAATAAAGTTTTGTTAAATTTGAAATGAAAATATCGGTGTGAACTCATAATTAATATTTTATTTTCATTTGTTAAGTATGCTTTTCCTAACTCTGTCCACTGAGGAAACTTAGATATAATAACAACAATAAGCACATAACATATCCAGATTGTGGCATCTAAATACCAACCCTCACCAACAAAACACAGGTCATCTTGGAGGAACAACTCATTTCAAGGTGTAAAAATATGCTAGGGGAACCCAAGACACCTTGTGATGCCTGAAAACAAATACTTGAAGGGTCTCCCTTGGGCCAAGGACTGGGACAATGTTAGCATCAAAAAGAATAATGAATGTAATTGAGTCAAACACATGGAATAAATATGTTTTTAAAACCTTGAGTATGTTACGATTCTTCAAAAACTGAAACCAACAGCAACACCATTGGGAGTGACTAGGGAACCAATTCCTTACTTAGAAACTTGGCAACTTAGAGGCAGAATAAAGCATGTAGCCTGCCTTTCTTGTACAAACTGCATTTTGAGATTACTAAGAAGTCCTAGTTAATGAGGGAAAGAGTTTTATTTTTCAGAAGAATGCCAGTGAATAAATGGGGAAAGAATGATGGATTTAGAAAATCACCATTGTGCAATCCCTAGGAAATAACTGGCTCATTATATTAGAAGAATTAACAGATGAACGAGTCAGGGGCACAGCTAAGGAGGAACTTTACAACTGTGTTTTGGGGTGACCCCATCTGAATCCGTGATTGGCCTCAGCATCAACCAAGGCAATCAGACATGACGCGCCGCCGAAGACAGAGTAAATCGCACAGCCCCAGGAAGTATTCTTGCTTCCACCCGCAAGAAAGGTAAAACTGAATCTCACCAAGCTGCTAGAGCTAATAAACAAAAAGTCAAATCCCGAATGTGGGAACGTTTATAGGACAACTGACTCAGTTCCTGCAATGTCACTGGGTGCAGAAACCTCGGCAGGGGAGGAGGGTACACAGGGAGAAGCATGTTCTAGATTAAAAGACTCTAGAAACATAACCACCAAACAAATGGCGTCTCTGTATACTGACAAACAAAGCTTCAGTAAAAAAGCCATTTTAAAGACATTTCAGAAAATTTTAGGACCGATGGGTATTACATGATACCAAGGAATTATCATTAATTTTGTTCAGTGTTACAATGGCATTATGAGTATATAAGAAAAAGTCCGTATGTTTTTGAGATGGATAGTGAAGTGTATAGGAAACATAAGCAGGATGTCTGGGACTTGCCTTAAAATTACAAAACTACACGAGGGGGAAAAAGAGGAAAAGAAGGGGCAAATAGAGCCAAGTTCTGCTGTTTGTTGAATCTGGTCATGAGTCTAGGGGGCTTCATCGATTAGTGTCTCTGTCCTGAGTGCATCTGACATTTTCGTGATAAAATATTTTAAATTCCGCCCAGTGCCAAAAAATATAATCCTCCCACATAAAAAGCCATACAAAACAATATAATAAGAAACATTTAAGAAAAAGTCTCCGATGTTGATAATAATTAAAGAAATTGTAATTAAAAACAGTAACAAGTTACCCTTTAATAACGATTAACTGTACCCAAAACTACCGGCTGCAGAAATCAGTGTTGAAAGAGCTGGGAGAGGCAGCCTCTCTCGTGTGTTGCAGGTGCCATTGTAAATTAGAATGACCCTTTGGGCAATTTAGTAATAAATATTAAGAGCCATAAAGCTGTTCATACCCTTTGACCCACTAATCCCACTCCTGGGAATTTATCCTAAGGATATAATTCAGACATAGGAAAAAAAGCTATATATACAAAGATGTTCTTGCTCCTATTATTTATAATAGAAACTGGAAAATAACCTTAATGTCTAGCAGTAAAGCACTGGGTAGTACATTATGGAATAGCAATTTGATGGAATATATGACACAGATACTACAAACAAATATACTGCAAAATGTAAAAATGTTTGCAAAAAGCCTCAGGGATAAAAATAAAAAACAAAGCTTACAATGATCAAAGGTAAAAGCTGGAAGTTAGATAAACGAAATTGTACTGAGGTTAGAGTAGGATTATGGGCAAAAGCAAAGTTTCTTTTTCTTTAAATTTCCTTCGATATTTGTAGGAATAGTTTTCAAAAATCATCCTTACAGTGTTCCTCTTTCATTCCTTCCTACAGTATTAAGATTTTTTTTAAAAACTGATTTGAATTCTTTAAATGAGAGGCAAGATGGGTACTGAAATTAGCTACAGGGTTCCAGGGAGGTCTATGTAAATTTCATCAACTAACATAAAAAGGGACTTCGAATACACTTGCTTCACTCTCTCTGAAGTAATCGGAATGGTTGGTGAGTCCAGGGAAGCGAGAGATGTGGTAGAAGGACACCCTAATGAAGAGTTCACAGGAAGATATGGAGGATTTTCATTTAAAAAAGGAGTAGATACAAGGCAGAGATGTCACCTGGAGGATGCAGAGAGAGAGGGGAAATCTGGGAGTTCTAAGAGGACAGAGGGCTGATGCTGGAGCAAACAGGCCCCATCTTCTGGGGTGACAGAATGGCTCTGGGAAGGATTTGGGGGTGCTGAAGCTTCTGCCGACAAGTCTCACCTTTCAGCAACTGAAGCTTCAAGAAGCGCTCGTGCTCTTGCACTAAGTGAATGCTGTGCCCGCGCATTTGCTTTCATCCTTGAGCGTTCCTTATGGAAGCATCTTCAACAGGGGTTGACTTGTTCAGATTAGAGAAAAAAGGACACCAAGGATGGCAGGCAGTGCATGCCTTGGCCCTCCTGCCCTACAAGGGGTGCCAACTTGGAATCCCAACTCAGGGGACTGCCCCTGGAGCACAACCCACCTGTCCTCCTATGAGACACCCATCATGAGGCACAATCTCTAAATCCCACATTTGAGTGGTAAGTGGTGTTATTTCTGACTGCCAATTCAAAGTGCCTTCAAATATTGTCTCCTGTAGAGCCCAGCACAGGATAAACACTCAAAATCTAGCTACTACTATGTTATTACTGGTATTCCTCCCCCCCCACCAGACTGTTAGCTTCTTGAGAGTAAAGACCTTGGTCATCTTTCTACTCTAACGAATGAATGAATCATGACTCCATCCATCCATCTCTCAACAATCTATCCCTTAGAATCCAGGGGCAAAATTGTCTAGAACAGACTCTTGGAGGGCCTGATGAACCGG